CCTTACTCTCCCCTGCCCCGCGTTGCCGGCTGATGTCGGCGTCCGTGGAGAAACTTCCAGAGTTCCTCGGGCCTCCCACCCCGTCCCCCACCCATCTCACCTCCCGCACTGGGGCCAGAGTCCGGAAGGAGTCGATCTGCTCGGCTTTCACCACCAGCAGTGCCCCTTCCACATACTTCTCCCTCTTGGCACCCGCCCCTACCTTCACCTTTCCGCCGATGCGAATGACGATTTTTCCGGAGTCCGGGTCGTGGCACCAGAAAACACCTTCCACCTCCGTCCCGTCCACCAGCAGCACATGCACCGGCGTTTGCGCCGCCGACATCTCTTCCCGTGCCAGCAAAAATTGTGCACGCGAGGTCTTCTTCCCGGACACGTCGGCGTTGACAAGCAGCTTCCCTCCCGCCGTCACAGCCCCCCCCACGGGGGCAACAGACGTGGCAGCGGCACTAGGTGCCAGCAAATTCGTGATGGGACGGGCGCCCCACACACCTCCCGGAGGGGGAGGCGCTCGTGTTATGGGCGTGGGTGCGGGCCCCGAGGCCTTAGGCTTGGTTGCCTGACGCGCGGTCATGGTGAATGGATTGCTTTGCTCCGGGTTTTTGATACAAACTCCTTCGGCGACCACCGCAGTGATTGTTGAAGATGGTGATGGTGATAAACGCGGATTTTGACGCGGCGTGCGGGTGTGAACAGAGTTTCTTGAGCTTCTCCCGGCCCGCGAGCGTGGTGAAAGAAGATCCGAAAAGAAGGCAAAGTGGCACGTTCAGAAGTAGCACCCGCAATTGCCACAATGTAACCTTTCTCCTCTCCGACTTCTCAAAGCACTGTACTGTACCAAAGGGGAAGAACTTTCGCGTGAGTGTGACGGGTTAAAATCAGGAGCAGGCCGGCTCCGCAAGGAGTTATGTGCGTGCACGGATGGCGAGCCTCCACAGGACAAATCACACAAAGTCATTTACAGTGCCGCATAAACCTACATTACTTCCAACATTTTAGCGCTGGACTATTTTAATGCTCGACAAGGTTTTCCCCATTGAGATAAAGGGATCACATTCAAAGGTACGTCGAAGAACTTGTCGAGGTCTCAGACATGACGTAGGGCTAAGCACTCAGCCTAACCTAACATGCGTCCTTTCCAGGTTGAATTCAGCCACACACCGGGACATATGACCGGAACTTCTCCTACATGAAGGTGTATAAACGTTTCGAGTTTTGGTGAACGCCGCGGGTGTGCCCCAAGCGCAGCCTGCATGTTTGTTTTGGGCCTCGAAGAAGGTTTTTTCGCCCGGCAGGCTACCCCCGACCGTTGAGCCCGACAGGGAGAAGGAAAGCGGGCTCTGGGGACGAGACAATGCACAAAACTGCCGTGTATGGACGCGGTCGTACCGAACGCGCCCCCGACAACCAAGGAATTGGTTTCCGTGTGGGAGGATTGGGCTGATGAACCAGGGCCGTTGCTTTCGTGGTGTTATCCGAGAGGCGACAACGTATGTCAACGGCCTCAGAGAGAGAGGGAAAGTACTCTCTCTCGGAAGGCATAGTTTTCTCGGGAGGGGGGGTTATGTGGCCGCATGCTTTCCAAAAGTGGTTCATTTCAGGCATAATCAAGACATACGTTGTTAAATATGCCATACTTGTACATCAGCCTCACGGCGTCTTTATTTAGAGTTATCAGTTCTTAAATTTCGCCTGCCTTCCTTCTTTTCATTCGATGCATCAGGGGGGCGGCAAGACAGGAAGGAGGGTAGTATGGAGGACAGGGAACGCAGGTTCCAGGAGAAACGACGCAGGGACCTGCGTTATGCGTGCAACCTGCCAAAGGACGACCTGAAGGTCGAAAATGAGCCGACGGCGAAGGGCAACGGAGGAGAACACGACCCATCTCCATCGCCCAAGCGCACGAGACGAGGCGGCGTGGTAGGTACAGAGCGTGCTTCCCTTGCTTCTGAGGACGACAGACACCCAGATTACGAGAAAAGAAGCCCGGTCGTGGAATCAACACGCATGACTCGGCGTTCTTCCAGGGAAACTGTCTCAGAGCAGACGTCCCGTCAAATTCAGCAAGGCGACACGGCCGAG